TGTTGGTGTTGGTGTTGGTGTTGGTGTTGTTGTAACACCAGGCGCAGTCAATCAAAATTATAAAAACATTGACTGGTATTGTATAACAGATACAAGTTTTGACCAAAACAAAACAACTAAGCATCTGTTAAATATCGGCCAGTATGTATGCTGTTCCTAATATTGCCGTTTTTTGTAGCTCCGATTGTGTGATTTTTTTGAGATCTGCAACTGCTTATAGTGCTGTGTCGAATTTCTTAACGTTGCTCCCAAAGCCCTGATGTTGATGGCGGGACCACACCGGAGTGTGTTTCATCCACAAGCGAGATGTTTCGATGGCCAGGTCTCTCTACTTCCTTAGTTTTTCCAGTTCTTTATTTTTTGACTCTGGCATCCCCTGGAATTGCAATGTTAATGATCCAGATGCATCATCAGCAAATAAAAAATTATAACATTCTTCAGTGGAAAAATGATGCTCCCGTCTCACAAAAGCTGCTGTCAAACTTAACAAAGTTTCAGGTTTGACAAGACTCTTGGGCGGTTTGGCTTTTTAGAAGAGACTAAGACAGGCGGCCATCTGGACAGATATAAGGGAGAGGGAAAAATCACAGGGTTTGGGATCCTTCCAGTCCTCATCTCCACAGTGGTTTGGGGGATGCGGCTGTGTTTTCAATTAGCAAAGGAAAATAATAGCAAATACGACAGCCCAAGTCTCAGTCGTTCCTCTCCAAACGTGCCACTAAGCAGCGACCAAATGTAAACCCCCCCCACCTCCAGTTTCAGGCCAGGGCCAAATGGCTTTGCTGCCCACCCCCATACATCTTGCTGTCAAGCAAGTTTGTTCACGATTTGGGGGCTTCACTTTGCCAATTTCCAGACAAATGGCTTTTCTGAACAGATCTAACAGTGCAGTCCTAATCAGAGTCCTGTCCTAGCTTAAAGACTACGAAGTTGGATTCGAAGTTGAGTTCTCGTGGGCTCCCACACCTTGCATCTGACAAAGTGCGGCTTAACCCCATGACAAGGCTTAAGCCAAATCAAACGTGTGTGTCTGTGAAGTGCCATAAGACTTTTTATTGGCTTTGTTGTGACAGATGAACCACCAGGAATCGGTAAAATCCTATCCACATATAGCCAGAAGCAAGCTTTATTGATTATAATTTCATTTATCCCTAAAATATTTAGGATTGGGCTTCATTTTCCTAAGAAATGGCACTGGATAACACCACAATCTCTTCAATGCTTGCCTTCAGGGATATAAACCCCCTTTCAGTATTGCATGAAAACACGGTTATACTAATTTACTGGGGTTTGTTCCCCTGAATGATATAGAATGTTCACTAGCTTCCAAATTCTTGAAGGATGTAGTGCACTTACAAATGGCTTACAGAGAGGCTTACGGATGGGATGAAAGAGACACACACACCCCAAAGTCAGATGCATGGGTTTTGGGGGAAATGCTATATAGGACAAAGCAAAAAGAATAAATTTTATTAGGTCACAGGGAAAGGGAAGTTAAAATTAAAAATTTTTGAAGTGTTTTGTGGCCTATGAGGTTATTCCTTGCACTTTTAGACTACCTATAATCAGAATTCTCTGGGCGCTACATCATGTTAAGAAGAAAATAAAATACTATAAGTCACTGATTACGTTTGCAGACATGTTGAGGGAAAATTGAGTAAATTGCTTGCCATGAAAATAGAGAAAACTATGGTGCGTGTTTTCAGTTTCTCGCGTGAAATGTGCAACAGGTGCTGGGGGGGGAGAGGGTTATTTGTTAAAAGGCCATCAAAGTTTGCTTTCCTTGAAGACAAGGGAACCGAGAGATGAGGCAGAGAGAGAAGATGATGCCTATTTGTGTAAGAAATGCACCGGACTCTGTCCACAGAAGGGGAACATTTTAAACTCTTTAACCCGTGCTTTTTCCTTCAACCAGACAACCCAATATTACAGTGACAGCCTAAACAAACAGAGTAGTATTTATTTTGGAGTAAATTTGCCAAGCCCAGTTCTGCAGTGGGGAGGAGAGGAGGGGGAAAATTCCTGCCAAATCAAGGTTTACAGCCCTAAGGCGGTGTAACCTCATATTCACAGATAGACACCCTGTGTTAGGGTGGTTCTTGAGGTCACTTTACAGTACCTTCCCCTAAATATTCCTGCAGACATACTCTTGAGCACCAGGCAACTCCTCTGTGCCCTGACAGCCTTTTGAGACCCTCCCTTTAGATGGTGGCCCAGATTGTGCCTTTTTTGCTGTCAAAAACCGTGAAAATGACAAAGAGTCCTATGGAACTCTAAAGCCTACAGAGTTTTATTTGGCTTAAGCTTTCGCAGACTTCGGCCCACTTCATCAGAGGCCTGCAATTTTAGTTCTTGGGCATCCTATGAGTTGTGGGAAGGCTTCTCCTGAACAAAATGGGTTAACCTTTAAGGTGCCAATAAGGCTGTCTCTTAGTCTTGCTGTAACAAAGGGGAAAGGTTTAACCCCCCCCCCTTTTGGGGGGGATTTTTAAAAAATGTGGAAAGCTAGTCCCGTTGCGCTGGAGGAGCCTTGGTGTCGCTGTCTCTTAGTCTTGCTGTAACAAAGGGAAAAGGTTTAACCCCCCCCCCCTTTTTGGGTTTTTTAAAAGTGTGGAAAGCCAGCCCCACTGCGCTGGAGGAGCCTTGGTGTCATAGGGCAGTGGTCCTCAACCTTGGGCCTCCAGATGTTCTTGGACTTCAACTCCCAGAAATCCTGGCCGAAGAGGTGGTGGTGTAGGCTTCTTGTAGTTGTAGTCCAAGAACATCAGGAGGCCCAAGGTTGGGGACCACTGTCATAGGGCACAGCACTGCTACAGGATAGGTCCACTTTCCCCTGGCTTGGTTTTTCTTTTTCAGCAAAATGAAAGAATAAATAAAATGGCCTGAAGAAGTGGCTCCTGAAAGCTCACATTAATGGCCGAAGAGGTGGTGGTGTAGGCTTCTTGTAGTTGTAGTCCAAGAACATCAGGAGGCCCAAGGTTGGGGACCACTGTCATAGGGCACAGCACTGCTACAGGATAGGTCCACTTTCCCCTGGCTTGGTTTTTCTTTTTCAGCAAAATGAAAGAATAAATAAAATGGCCTGAAGAAGTGGCTCCTGAAAGCTCACATTAAAATATAACCCTTGGTCTTTTAAGGTGCCACCACGTTTCTGTCTTCTTTATTTTTAAGTTTTCTTTGGTTTTGTTTTTGTTGTTTTGGTTTTTTTTGCCTGATATAAAATAAAAACAGTTCGTTGGGATGGGGAGATTTTCTTCCAAGTTTCAAAGGACTTTTGGTTCTGGCAGAGTGAAAGAAGACTTCTGCCAGAGACAGGTTGCTAAGACAGAAAGAAGGATTTAGGGTAGGAAGACCCAGTAGTTAGAGTCACTGCGAAGCTGTTTCACGCGTAGCCCTGGAGCCGCTGGTAGGAATTCTGCCCCAGACTTGAAGCAGCTGAACTCCAACGAGAAGCCGCTCCATCTCACCAATTCCTTTTCAGGAAAGTAAAATACAGCTGAGCACCAACCACTGGTCTTCTCTGGCAGGATGATCGGAAGACAAATGCGTGTCAGCTGTCAAAACACACGCAGACGCGTGCACACACCCGTGACCGGAGTGGAACTAAGTTTTAAGTAAACATGCAGAAGATCAAGCTGGACACAGAAGAGGGGGCAGGATCCGGCCCGAATTAAGTGGTACTGAGACCCAGAGAGAAGGAACTGAGCGCTATAGGAGAACGCGGCAGCAGGCCCGGATCTCTCTCTCTCTCTGTCTCTCTGCTCTGACTGGATCATGCCCCTAGCGAAGAGGCTGCTGATCAAGAAAACAAAACAAAAAAAGTCCAAGCAAGAATTAGGGGAACTCGCGTGTTTGCGCGCACACGTGTCCGTGCGTCCGCATCACCAGCGGTAAGATTATTTAATGCCACCCTCTCCGGTGTGAGCAGACTTCTGCTCCAGGCTCGGCGTCCTAACGGGGCATAATTGGGGACTGCCACGCCTCAATAGAATAGCTGGTCGTGAGAATGTGCGGCCCAAGAGCCCGACACGCGAAGGAGGTCTTACCGGGAAGTTGCACCTTCAGCCCTGCTGGGAGTGGCCGGTATTTGGGGGCGAGGAGAACAGATGGCGATCCCCATACGCACGAGAAGCCAGAAATCTTACCTGCCGGCCTTGGTGATGATCATTTCTGTGCCGATTTCGTGGAATCGCTTCCAGAGCTCCGAGCCCTGTAGGTCGACTTGAATGGCCCCGCCTGGCTCTTTGCTGTCCCCCAAGAGAGGAGCCGACACTTCTCCTTTCGACTTCTTATCTGCGAGAGAGTATTTTATTTTGTTTTGTTTTATTGCTTGCTTTTACCCCGCCTTTCCCCTGAAAGGGGAGGGAAAGGACGCGGCATAACTCCAGATACGTGTCTACTCGGAAGTAAGTACCGTTCCACTCCATGAAACTTAACTGCCCCGGTCAGTGGGTGATAGGATCGCAACCTGTTCCGTGAAATATACTGTATTAGCCAGAATCCTGCGGCTTTTAGCGTTATCAGCTGCTCTAGAGTAGGTCCCGTGAATCACGAAGATTGGGCGAGTCAGCTGCTTCCTAATTCTGATTCTAGTAAGTTTACTCTAACTGAGACAGGTATGAGTACTACCTGTATCTGCCGAGGAGTCCAGCAATTCTGTCTGAGGAAGTGGACTTGTCCACGAAAGCTCGCATTCAAATACAGCAGTTAGTTTTTACGGTGCCTCGACGTTTTTGCCCTGCTTATATTTTATTTTTCTTGTGTTTCTGCGTGATATACTTCAAGAAAGTGAGTAGAGGAAAGTCCATTAATCAATGGAACTAAACAGAGGCGCTGACTTCCCCAATTCCTCTTGATTCAATAGGCTGATTCTAGTGCGACTGACTACGCTAAGTATCAGGATTTGGGCCCTTGGGCTTTCTTCCCTTCGGCTCCAGGGCATCTGGAATCTGCAAACGCCTTCCGAGGCTATAAGTTGCCATTTGTTGGGCGTGCGGTAGAAAGCTCGATTTTCTAACCAGGACCAGGGTTTTGGGAAAGAAAAAGGCGAACGAGGGGCGGCGGGGAGACGCCAAACTATTATAGCAAACAATTTTGTTTCAGTCTGCTCTTTGATCAACGCCCACTTCTTCAGATCCAGGAGCCTAAATAACATGACCAGTATATCCGTACGCATTCAAATAAGCAGGCTAGGATACAGATAGCGTGGTTATGCTTGGTTGACCCAGGAATGAGACTACTGAGGGGTTAAATTTCTTGAATTATATTTACAGGTGGGTTCAGCAGGAATGTTAATAGATCTTACCGGGACTGAGTTCGGATCTAGTAAAAGGAGGCAGCAGAAAGCTCGGTAATTAATATATACTGTACACTAAACACTACAGATTTTCTTTGGGTTTTTTTTTAAGCCCTTAGTTCTTGCACAAAATTGAGGAGGAAATCAGAAAAGCTCCGTGATTTACTCCAGAGTAGCTAGAGGCGGAGAGGGATATGTGCAGAACCGATTAATGTGCGCACACGTGGCGCCTCAC